CACATTACATTCATGTCTGTGAGACTAATTTAGAACTGAGTATGCAACAGCTTCAACAGAAGCCACTATACACCCCCCTCTCACTCTGCAGGTTTATTTTTCAATGTACAAATTTTACATGTATTGCCATTTAGGACATTTCAGATGTTATATGTAGCTCTGAGGGGGTTAATAGTCTGTAAGGAAAATGGCATGTCCATAACAGAACCAGTTTGAATAGGGAGCACAGCATTAGCCATATGTCCTTCTGCCTGTCCCCTTTGCCTGCATGTTGGCCATTTTAAGGCTCACTTTAGAAAGACCTGCTGTTGAATACAGCTTGAGTAACCCTGACGAGAGCTGCTCTCTAATTGGACGAGAAGTGCAGGGGCCAGATATCCCATGGAGGGCGCCGAAGCAACAGAGACATCAAAGTGGAGGACACAGAACCCAAATTAATTGAGTGTGAAGGGTTTTTGAGAGTTTTTTTTTTCAATAGCGTTTGAGGGCAGTATTTCAGCACGCCCTATTTCTCCATGTAGGAAATGCTTGAGCTTCTATAACAAACCTCTGCTGCATTTGATGAACTCATTTGTATTCATCTATCATTGCTGGCTTCCTAAGTCTGGGAGTCATAGATACACAGAGGTCCGGGGCTCATTCTCCCACAGCTGCTGTAGCTGCCACAATACTGCCTTAAACCTGTGCCCCGCTCTACCCTCTGCCTTTCAAAGCCTCTCAAAAGCAGCTGGCCAGATGTCATGGCGCTAATCGCGTGGACAAAGGCAACGGCTTGGCCTGCCATTGTGCGCAGGCCAGGTGCCCAGGCTTGATTACTCTCACATACGGACGTTTCAGAGGACAATTAAGAAAGCAACGCAAGCCAAGTTGATTGAGAACTAAGTGGCATTTGCTTTCTTATTTGCGGTGTCCTTTCTATTCCATGCCGTTCCCTCAGCAGAAAGGAGATCAGTGTTGTAATTATAAACACCTGTTCCCATTTCTAAAAATGTGCATGCTTTAAAACATGCAGATTATAAATTACATGGGCAGGGAAATTTTGTTGTTCCTTGCGTTCCAACCCTTGATTTCCTTGGGAGCATATGATATCCAGTGGGTTTACAGTAAAAACTCACTTCTGTCAGAGAAACTTTACTTTGGGTAGTTAGCAGGCTGTGTATATTACCTGATGGAAAGTGCTCGTTGATTGGCCAGTTGTCCACCTGTAAGGTGGCGTTTCCCCCATTCCTTGTGAAGCGCACTACATGATATTTTCCATCGTTGACTTCTGTAGTCATCTCTTTGACGCTGATGTCCACCGTGCCTATGTTGAACGTTACGCCCACCTTTCCTTCTTCCTGGAATAGAAACAACACAAACAATCTCAGCTGAGCTACACCAAATGGCTGATTCAACTCAGCGTAAAAGGATGAAGGTGCTAGCTTAAATAACAGGAACAATTTGCATGTTAAAGTGATCCACTTTTAGAAACCTCTGCAATGATGCTGCCAATGAGAGCACGCAAACTGATGTGGATGCCAAGACTGCTGCATTTTTTATATCCAGTTGATAAGAATGAGATGCCAACAGAAATGTGGGACATGCACGTAACGATGACTAATGCGCTTTGTACCGACCTACTGCAAATTCACAAACATATGCTCCTCTACCTTTCACATATGTATCCCATATAGCTTCTGTTTGGGGACTCTTCATAACTCCCTGATGGTGAACTAAGACAACTTGCCCCATTGTCTTTTGCACAGTCTGCTAGCGCTATTCGCAAAGCCAAATTCTCTCCAAGTTCATGTTCACATAGCTATCATGAAACATAGGGTTTCAAGGCATGCCAGACTCGATGGAGTGCATTTCTTGTCTCATGTCATTTGTTTTAATCCCCACCAGGCCTCTTGAAAGTACAATTACCTGTCCTCAAGGCATGGCACAGAGGAAGCCATTTTTCAAACAAAGGGGAAGGTAAATAAATACATGGATGTGCTGTACTGAAGTGTGTGATAAATTAATCTGCCACACACACCAACTTTCACTGTTCCTCAATGTTTTCTGAGGGCTTCCCAAGACTCTCAGCGTGCTCTACTTTCAATGAACGCAACCTAAGATCTGCTGGTGAGAGCACAACTACTGAAATTGACAATTAAAATGCATGATAAAGTGAATGGAATGTTTTTAATGAGAGGTGTATGATGAAGGTTAATTTTGTGAAGACAGACCAAAAGCTGGAGAATGCTACATTAATATGCATTGTTTGTGCTCTCCATTAGAGCCAAGAAAAGCAGTACATTGCACAGCATGCTGATCTAAGAGTCTGTTTAAGCTTTCTGATTCCAGCTATACTATGCCTGGCACAACTTGAGATCTGCAAACTCCCATAAAGTAATGGCTGTTTGCACCATCTGATTATTAGATATCCTAGTTCAGACAGTTTCCGTTGTGAGGGTTGAAATGATAACAAATGGGAGTGAGTCAGGAGGGTTTACAGATCTCTGAAGGATCTCTTTCTAGCTCACCAGTTCCCTCTCAGTCGGTCACTCTCGACGTCACGTCGGAGGACCGACGAATTGGGATCTCGCTTAGAGGGACCAATCTACTTCGAGTGTAAACTAAACGAGCCCAAAAGCTGGAGAATGCTACATTAATATGCATTGTTTGTGCTCTCCATTAGAGCCAAGAAAAGCAGTACATTGCACAGCATGCTGATCTAAGAGTCTGTTTAAGCTTTCTGATTCCAGCTATACTATGCCTGGCACAACTTGAGATCTGCAAACTCCCATAAAGTAATGGCTGTTTGCACCATCTGATTATTAGATATCCTAGTTCAGACAGTTTCCGTTGTGAGGGTTGAAATGATAACAAATGGGAGTGAGTCAGGAGGGTTTACAGATCTCTGAAGGATCTCTTTCTAGCTCACCAGTTCTCTACCACAAGCAACATATTCTCAGTTCTAAAACCTAGAGAGATGACTACTGAGGCAGCATCTTAAGTCCTCAATAATGCATTCTAGACACAAATGTTAGAAATGCACTTATGCTGCCTCCTTAGAAACCTTGTTTCTAAGGCAGCCTATATTGCATCCTTTTCAGAGAAGGCATTGTGGTGAGCTCCATGTAAAAAATAAAATATATAAAAAATAAGATGGTGTGAAAGACTATGCAAATGTAAATAAATGTATAAATAAAAATGTTTAATGAAATACTGAAAGGTATCTAGACGAAAAAAACTATTTCCAATATTGGTACGTACTATGTAGCCTATATTAATGCTTACTGGAGTATCATGACGTTAACCTAGCAAAATGCTAATGCCAAACTCTACTGAAATCAACTGTAAGTCAAATCTCCAGGAGCACAATTGTGTGGCACATGGAGTTGCTGCATTAGTTTAAGTGTTCCAAATCGCTCACTCAGTAAACAGAATGCAGCTTTAGTGCATATCCAGGCTGGTGTGACTGACTTTTCCAATCACACTGCATTGGCCAACATTTCATTGTCTTTTCAGAGAATGGGGTGGTAAAGGAACATTGTATTCTAAAGAAAAAAAAACATTCCCAATGAAGATGGCAATAATGACTCACTATTTTTACACACTATTATAGTCAATTTCAATTTCTATATTCAATATATTGAATTAACACATTATGGTAAGACAGCACATACTATATTGCTTTTTTTTCATTAGAAAGGAAACAGCAAACAAGATTGATGCTTGTTGAATGTTGCACTTTCTCTGATATAATACCTGATGTCTCACAGATGGTGGCAAACATTTAGAAGGTTATTGCAGAATTTCGCTGCGATGGACAGCATAATGTCTGGTGTTTCTCCGCCGTGGGTGGTACCAACGTAGCCAAGAGTGATAATAGTAATTTGAGTTGCGGCAGGGGCCTGCACCGATGAAGAAGGGCTCTATCTCTCCCACATGTAATGTTCGCTGACACCAGTAATAAGCTACACAATCCAATTCTGTCCCTCCGATCAATGGTTTCAACAAAAAGTCAGCCCCAGGCATCAAATCTCTCCCAGAAAGCCTCCATCGCTGCGGCAGCCTGCAGACAGGAGCGCAGTACCTTGATGTCTTGGCAAGGGACTAAACCATATGCAACCATCATCATCAGTATAGACAAAGTGTAGTGCAAAGAATAGCCTTCAAACTTTCTACAGCAAATGTTTAGGCTATAATTAGATACTTTTCAATTGCTATGTCTGAAAGCCAGTTTGATTCTCCCTGCAGTTCTGTATTCACACTGAATCATTTTACACCAAATGTGTTCTAGTACTATCTGGTGATCCCTGTATCTGCTTGACAATCTAGGAATAGATGCCAGCTTCACAAGTTTTCCTCCTTTTCCCACCATTTTATTACAAAATCTTAACACACAAATCAGTACTTGTGTCTGTCTGTCACAGATACAAAGAATGCAAGCTGCTTGTCATTTCAAGCAGCAATGAGAAATACATTATGCTATAATAGGCAAATTATCCGTAATCAATATATTTTTATTTCAGCAAGTAGATCTGAAATGAAAACAATCCAGCCTTGGTTTCTTGGAGTGCATCCCCCCCCCCCAAAAAAGCATTCACACCAACCAAACACTGGAGTGAAACATACTGAAGCAAAAGCTGTAGTCTGAAAGCGTTCCATTTCAGAATGATTATAGCTACTTTGAAATAAAATGAGACCACCAGACCAATCTGACATAAGATCAACTGGTATCAATCACTAACCATGCTCAATTTGTGTGTGAGATGTTCTGTAACAGTTTAGGCCTATTAAATGTTAAAAATGATGAAACTTACAGTAATACAGGAATAATAATAATAATAATAATAATAGCAATTGCGGCAGCAAGATTAATTTTTAATGAGCCAAAAAGAATGCACGTCACACCTCTGTTTATCAATTTGCACTGGCGACCAATAACTTGCTCGCATAAAATTCAAGGCATTAATGTTTGACTACAAAACCACCACTGGCTCGGCACCCCTTTACCTAAATTCATTACTTCAGACTTATGTGCCCTCTAGAAGCTTGCGTTCTGCAAGTGAATGGCGCTTTATTGTGCAATCCCAAAGAGGCACAAAATCCCTTTCACAGACTTTTAAATTAAATGTTCCCTCCTGGTGGAATGACCTGCCCAACTCAATCCGAGCAGCTGAGTCCTTAGCCATCTTCAAGAATCAGCTAAAAACACATCTCTTCCATCTTTATTTGACCCTCTAACTCTAGCACTCTCTATTCTAATTCTATTCTTTAAAAAAACTGGTCCCTTTTAGACTTGCACTTTATTCATTTGCTGCTTGTTTTCTTAAAAAAAAAAAAAAAAAAAAACCTAACGATGATCAAATAAATTGTGAATAATTTGTGTTTATTTGGCAGCTGTGGTGGTGGTTACGGCAAACATCTCATACTAACCCTCCATCTGGCATCCTTCCATTCCATTCAGTAATCTGATTCATTTTCAGAAGGTGCAATGATGGGAATATGCGTGTCATCAATGCATCCAACCACACTGGAAACTAACTGGCTTTTCTAATCTTTTTGTATTATATTTATTTGTTTTCTTTTTATTTATTATACAATTATTAACAAAAGCAAAAAAGGCCTCTAACACCCGTTTGCTCTATTATTTTTCTATTCTATCCGTTTTCTTTTTATTTATTATATAATTATAAAAAAAGAAAAAAAAACAGCAGCCTTAATAATGTGCTCTGCATCTCCGATGTTTTAAAGAAAACTACCATTTAAAATGCTACCACTCAAATAAATATGCATGTGAATATGGCACAAAAAAAAAAACTCCCTACAAATTTATGCAGCCTCCTCGTCTACGGATCCTGTATAAAAGGAGATGCCATTTTTTTCACTTTGACTGTGTCTGCATGATGAAAATATGCGCAATGAATGAATACCGGCACTGCAAAAAATGCTTTTCTTATGCAAACTGCTAAACTAATTTAGTATATTTAAAATGTATTAAAGGGGTCCTATTATGCTTTTTCACTTTTTCAACTTCAGTTAGTCTGTAATGTTGCTGTTTGAGCATAAAAAAGGTCTGCAAAGTTACAAAGCTCAAAGTCCAATTCAAAAGGAGATATTTTATTTAACAGAAATCACTTTTCAAAAACTACAACGAACGACTCGTTTGGACTACAACGCATATTTTCCATCGTTTACGCTTTAAAAAGGGGGAGGAGACTGTAAGAAACTCTGGGTTTACCGAAGAAAACTTGCTCCCGACCAGGTTAGGTTCACAGAGTAAGTAACCACGGTAACTGACTCTGAGTATAAGTTACCACTCTTTCAAAAACGGGCTTGACCTACTCTGCTTTCTCGGGTTTGA